ATTGCTGTGGCTAGGACTTTCAAAACTATGTTGAATAAAAATTGAGAAAGTGGACATCCTTGTCTTGTTCCTGATCTTAGAGGAAATGCTTTCAGCTTTTCACCATTGAGTATGATGTTAGGTGTAGGCCTAACATAATAAAGGCCAATGCCTACATTGTTGAGGTAGGTTCCCTCTAGGCCCACTTTCTGGAGAGTTTTTATTATAAATGGGTATTGAATTTTGTCAGAAGCTTTTCTGTATCTATTGAGATGAAAATATGATTTTTATTCTTCAATTTGTTAATGTGGTGTATCATCACACTGATTGATTTGCAGATATTGAAAAATCCTTGCATCCCTGAGATAAATCCTACTTGATCATGGTGTATGATCCTTTTAATGTATTTTTGGGTTCGGTTTGCTAGTATTTTGTTGAGGATTTTGCATCTGTGTTCATCACTGACATTGGCCTATAATTTTCATTTTTTGTGGTATCTTTGTCTGATTTTTGTATGAAGGTAATGGTGGCCTCATAGATTAAGTTTGGGAGTGTTCCTTCCTCTGCAGTTTTGGAGAATAGTTTCAATGGAATAGTTTCAGAAGGATAGCTGATAACTCTTCTCTAAATATTTGATAGAATTTGCCTGTGAAGTAATCTAGTCCTGGACATTTTTGTTCATTGGGAATTTTTTAATCACACTTTCAATTTCAGTACTTGTGATTGGTCTGTTCATATTTTCTGTTTCTTCCTGGTTCAGTCTTGGGAGATTGTACCTTTCTAAGAATTTGTCCATTTCTTGCAGGTTGTTCATTTTATTGGCATATAGTTGCTTGTAGTAGTCTCCTATCATCCTTTGTATTTCTGTGGTGTCAGTTGCAACTTCTCCTTTTTCATTTCTAATTTTATTAATTGGAGCCCTCTCCCTTTTTTTCTTGATGAGTCTGGCTATAGGTTTAGCAGTTTTGTTTATCATTTCAAAGAACCAGATTTTAGTTTCATTGATCTTTTCTATTGTTTTCTTCATCTCTGTATCATTTATTTCTGCTCTGATCTTTGTGATTTCTTTCTACTAACTTTGGGTTTTGTTTGTTTTTCTTTCTCTAGTTGCTTTAGGTGTAAGGTTAAGATGTTTGAGATTTTTCTTGTTTCCTTAGGTAAGCTTGTATTGCTATGAACTCCCTCTTAGAACTCCTTCTGCTGCATGCCATAGGTTTTGGATCGTTGTGTTTTCGTTTTCATTTGTCTCTAGGTATTTTTTGATTTCCTCTTTGATTTCTTCACTGATCCATTGGATGTTTAGTAGCATTTTGTTTAGCCTCCACGTGTTCGTGCTTTTTACAGTTTTTTTCTTGTAGTTGATTTCCAATCTCATAGTGTTGTGGATGGAAAAGATGCTTGATATGATTTCAATTTTCTTAAATTTATTGAAGCTCTCTTTGTGGCCCAGCATGTGATAGGTGCTGGAGAATGTTCCATGTGCACTTGAAAAGAGTGTATATTGTGCTGCTTTTGGATGGAATGCTCCATAAATATCAATTAAGTGCATCTGGTCTAATGTGTCATTTAAGGCCTGTGTTTCCTTATTGATTTTTCTGTCTGGATGATCTGTCCATTGATGAAAGTGGGGTGTTATTTTAAAGTCTGTTTTGTCTGATATGAGTATTGCCACTCCAGCTTTCTTCTGATTCCCATTTGTATGGAATACCTTTTCCCATCCCCTTACTTTGTCTGTATGTGTCTCTAGGTCTGAAGTGGGTCTTTTGTAGACAGCATATAATATGGGTCTTGTTTTCGTAGCCATTCAGCCGTTCTGCGTCTTTTGGTTGGAGCGTTTAATTTGTTTTCATTTCAGGTAATTATCAATATGTATGTTCTTATTGCCATTTTCCTAATTGTTTTGGATTTGCTTTTGTAGGTCTTTTCTCTCCCCTTCCTCTTTTGTTCTCTTCTGATTTGATGCCCAACTTTTTATTGTTGTGTTTGGATTCCTTTTTCTTTTTTGTGTGTGTGTATCTGCTATAGATTTTCAGTCTGTATTTACCATGAGGTTTTGATATAGCAGTCTGTATATATATACAAGATTATTTTAATTTGCTGGTCTTTTAATTTCAAATGCATTTCTAGTATCCTGGATTTGTACTCTTTTCTTCTCACAGTTGCTGGTTTTGATATCATATTTGTGTGTGGATGATTTCCTGCCTTTACTGTATGTTTGCCTTTACCAGTGAGCTTTCTCATTCTTAATTTTCTAGTTGTGGCCTTTTTTTTTTTCCCTGCCTAGAGAAGTTCCTTTAACATTGGTTGCAAAGCTGGTGTGGTGATGCTGAATTCTCTTAGCTTTTGCTTGTCTGTAAAGCTTTTGATTTCTCTGTCAACCCTGAATGAGAGCCTTGGTGGGTAGAGTAATCTTGGTCGTACGTTCTTCCCTTTCATCACTTTAATATATTGTGCCACTCCCTTCTGGCCTGCAGAGTTTCTGCTGAGAAATCAGCTGATGACCTTATGGGGATTCCGTTGCATGTTCTGTGTTGCTTTTCTCTTGCTGCTTTTAGTATTTTTTCATTGTCTTTAATTTTTGTCAATTTGACTAATATGTGTCTCGGTGTGTTCCTCCTTGGGTTTATCCTGCCTGGGACTCTCTGCACTCCCTGGACTTGGGTGATTGTTTCCGTTCTCATTTTAGGGAAGTTTTCAGCTAGTATCTCTTCAGATATTTTATCAGGCCCTTTCGCTCTTCTCCTTCTGGGACCCCTATAATGCAGTGCATTTAATGTTGTCCCAGAGGTCTCTTAGACTGTCCTCATTTCTTTCCATTCTTTTTTCTGTTCTGTGGCAGTGATTTACACCATTTTGTCTTCCAGCTCACTTATCTGTTGTTCTGCCTCATTTACTGTTACTGATTCTTTCTAGTGTATTATTCATTTCAGTTTTTGTATTCTTCATCTCTGTTTGTTCTTTAGATCTTCTAGCTCTTTATTAAACATTTCTTCTGCCTTCTCCATCTGTGCCTCCATTCTTTTTCCAAGATCTTGGGTCATCTTTACTATCATTACTCTGAATTGTTTTTTGGGTAGATCACCTATCTCCATTTCACTTAGTTCTTCTGGGGTTTTATCTTGTTCCCTCATGTAGGACATATTCCCTCTGCTGTCTCATTTTGTCTAACTTTTTGTGGTTGTGGTTTCCATTCTGTAGGCTGCAGGGTTGTAGTTTGTCTTGCTTCTGCTGCTGCCCCCTGGTGGATGAGGCCAGTCTCAGAGGCTTGTGCAGGCTTCCTGTTTGGGAGGGGTGGGGGGTGGGGACTGGTGCCTGCCCAGTGGGTGGAGCTGGGTCTTGTCCCTCTGGTGGGCAGGGCCATGTCAAGGGGTGTGTTTAGCCAGCAGTTGTGGGCTTAGGAAGACTTTAGGCAGCCTGTCTGCTGATGGGGAGGGGTTGTATTCCCACCCAGTTGGTTGTTTGGCCTGAGGCATCCCAGCACTGGAGCCTATAGGCTGTTGGGTGAGGCCAGGTCTTGGTGAGAAAATGGCGGCCTCCTGAAGGGCTCACACCAATAAGTGTGAGCTACCCAGAACTACCGCCACCAGTGTCTTTGTCCCTGTAGTGAGCCACAGCCACCCCCTTCCCCCCACCTCCAGAGGAGACCCTCCAATACCAGCAGGTGGGTTAAGCCCAGACTCTTGTGAGGTCACTGCTTTTTCTCCTGGGTCCTGGTGTGCACGAGACCTTGTGTGCACCCTCCAAGAGTGGAGTTTCTCTTTGCCCCCAGTCTAACCCCGCTGGCCTTCAAAGCCAAATGCCCTGGGGGCTCCTCCTCCCGATGCCATATCCCCAGGCTGGGGAGCCTGATGCAAGGCTCATAACTTTCACTCCTGTGGGAGAACCTCTGAGATATAATTATTTTCCAGTTTGTGGGTCACCCACCCAGCAGGTATGGGGTTTCATTTTATCGCGATTGCACCCCTCCTGTTGTCTCACTGTGGCTTCTTTGTTTTTGGATGTAGGATATCTTTTTGGTAAGTTCCAGGGTTTTTTTTGTCGATGGTTGCTCAGCAGTTGGTTGTGAATTTGGTGTTTTCATGAGAAGAGGTGAGCTCACATCCCTCTTCTCCGCCACCTTAGCTCCGTCCTCAAAACAGCTGTTGATCTTTGGTGCGTTATCTTAAGTGAACAAGCCTCAGTGTCCTTGCATGAGAGGCTTGTCTTGGGCAGCTGAAAGATGAGTACATCTCCGCACCCACCTGGCAGAATCTTGAGGTTTATATAGAGGCTTTCATGGGGCTAAGTCACATACCCAGTCCAAATGGTCTCAACAACACCTTACTCTTTCGAGACTTCTTCCATGAAATTCCTTTGTTTTTTTAACCATAACTAACTGTCTTGCACACATTCTGGAAGCTTATCACTAAGATTCTAGATGCTGGCCAATAGAATCTTCTAGAGTGGGTGCCAGCAGACTAGATATCACAGGCCCACTCCAGACGCCACCAGTTGGAATACAGTGCACACAGATATTTATGTATTGCCTGGGGCTGCTTTTGCACTTCAGCAACAAAGTTGAGTAGTTGGGACAGAGACTGTGTGGCCCACAAGCTCTAAAATATTATCTGGCCCTTTACAGAGAAACTTGGCCAACCCCTGCTATAAAATAATACTAAGAGTTAGTATCTGTTACCAAAGGTAGCAGATCAAAGTAAAATACAGTGTTATTTCCAGATCACACAAAGTCCAGCCAGCCTGTGGGGGTTTTTTTTGGCCACGCCCTGAGGCACACGGGATCTTTGTTCCTCAGCCAGGGATGGAACCCGTGTCCCCTGCAGTGGAAGCTCGGCGTCTTAACCACTGGACCACCAGAGAAATCCCCAGTCTGTGTTCTTCATGTCTGCCAGGTCTCAACTCAAGTTACCATTGGCATTCATTCTTACTTCCCCACGGGTGGGAAGTAAGTGATTTTATGTGCCATATATTTTACATGAGTTGCCTTCCTGTTTTGCTGGTGGCCAGAGGAGACGATGACTTACCTAAGTTCATGATGAGCCAGATTCAAGCTCCCGTCAGGTGCAGACCTGCGTTCTTACCCACCACAGTCTGTGTATCTAAACTGAGAAAGAAGATGGCTTTGAAAATGTTGGAAGGGCTTTCAGGAAGGACTAGACTCTTCCCCAGGCTGCTTTATAGTTGAGGGATCGCCCCCGCCCCCTCCCCAAAAAAGTAAGCTCAAACCTTTCCTCCTAACCCCTTTCAGGATTAGCCTTACTTCTGTTTCTCCTCTCCACTTCCACTATATTATTTTGTGCTTGCTGACTTACGATGGAAATGCTCTTAATTACTAAGTACTCTTGCTTTGTGCTACAGACTTTCCCACTAGATCCCCTTCTGGTGACTTAATTTTTCCTTTTGTATCCCTTCCTGCCATTCTTTCCAGTTAATATTCTGAATGAAGTACTCAATGGCTAATTGTAGTTAATGTGACATTGTTTCTTTCTTTTTCTCTGCCCAGATATAGGTTTGACCCTCGTCTCATGTTCAACAATCATGGCAGTGTCAGGACTCGAAGGTTTTCAAAACATCTGTAGCGCCTCTGCGGTTGGATCCCTTGCACGCCTCTTTCTGATGAAGTGATTGTAGTAGGTGTGTCTGTAGCTAGTCTTCAAGACCATGCCTGGAAGGGTTTCTGGACTGGCTTTAAGTCCTGTTTGAAAAAGCAACCCAATCAGCTGACTTCCTTGTGCAGTGTGTTAAACTGTGAACTCTGCCTGTGTGTCAGGAGTGGCTGTCCCTGGTCCCTTTATTCAACTGATGATGATACGCCTGAGGTCTTTGTTCTCACCAAACCCTTTCTGTCCTGGGGCCACAGTTCTTGATTATTCCCCATGTGGTCAAAGTCTAGATTTGTAAATCCATTCAGATAAATGGCAATGCTTTAGGGGGGCAAGGTTTTTGGTATACAGCTTGACCTAAAATCAGAGGACCTGCATAGCATTCGAGATTGAACACGTCACTATCAAAAATACTAACATCACATGGCTTGAAGCATAACCATCAGAGCTGAACCCTCTGATTAAGAACCAATACCATTGTTTTTAGATCAGTAGAAATACACTGTTTATAACGTCCATCACAATGGATCACAAATTCAAAACGCACCAGTGAAGCTCTGTTCATTTTTTGGCAGTTCTGGGCTGGTGCTACATTGAAATAGAACAGTAGCAAGCTTTTGGTAAAGGCTAATTGCAGGTAGTTACCGAAGGTGATGGACATCTACTTTCCAGTGGCTGCTAATCACATGGAGTGCCAGTGAACACCAGGGGTGTCTGGGGAATGTCTCTCCTCTTGGTACTTCCCTTTCTCAGATCTGAAATATAAGGTGGGTTAAGTATTTCAGCAGAGAAGAACTTCCAAGGGTTGGTGAAGGTTGTGTTTTCTGAGGGCCTTCTGTAGGTAGGGCTCTCTGGTTAACAGGTTGAAGGGCTATAAATCAGGGTGTAATAAGTGCCTGTCCGGCAGGGAGCCTGGGTTCTAGTCCCATGTGTGAAGTTGTGAGACTCCCTCTGCCTATTGCTGACATTCTGTTCATTTGTTATAAGATGCAAGAATTCCTTAGAGTTGATGCAGAGTACCAACTACTTACCTTCTTCCCTTTCAGCAAAACTTCTTCTTGAGTTTTTGGAGTCTTGTGTAACTTGGGCCTAATTCACTATTCCTCCGTCGAAACCCGATCTTCTTGAGATTTCCTCACTGTTTAGAACACCTGCATTTCTGTCTCTTGGCTCGAAGACCAATCCCATTTCTTGTGTTTTCTTCACAAGAAGGTTAATTGGTGATGTGGCAGCAGGGGAGGAAGAGGAACCGTGGTTTATAACCTGTTCAACTCAGGCAGTGGTGGTTTTAGCTTTATGTAAGGTCCTAGGTTGAGCTTTAAGCACTTTGTAAGACGTGGCCATAAGTAACTTTTCTATCACAATTCCAGATAGCCGTGTTGGGTTAACAGCCATTGGGTTTATTCCTTTACCTCATACAATCCCAGTAACTGTGGTGGTATTTAGAGGTGAAATGGGCAAGTGAAACGAATACCTCTGCTGTGACCATTTTAGGAAAAGAAATTCTAACAATTTTGTAACTAAAAGCAAACTACAATGTTGAGTATGGGCATTGGCTTTATTCTGCACTTTTGAGTCCTCACATTCATCAGTCAGCTTCCACCTTAATGGAAGTTGACCATGGTTATTCCTGAATAAAGAGAAAACAACTCTTACCAGGTCTTCTACTGTGATGTCATATTATTCAGTTTTGTGATGCTCGTTCCTGAAAGCAGATGACGTAGTAAGAGTGACACAAATCAGCCGCTGATAGTAGTCCTGTCCCACTGCTCTTACATGCATCAGACTTTTGTCTGGGGGGCAGGCAGGGCCAGTGAAGCCCTTTTATTTTTGTACCCCTGGTTTTTGAATGGCCTCTAATTTGACTTTTTCTCGTGGACTGGTTGCATTCTGGATCTACACTAAAATCATCTCTCATAAAGAGAGCTCAGTTTCTAGACTAGCAGACCACAAAATGCACTGGAAGTTTTCAGAATGATATGTACAAGGGCCCCACTGCAAGAGGCTTGCCTTGTTTCTCTCTTAATTGTACTGATTTGAATTTTGATTATTTTCCCTTTTAAGAAGACCAGGTCCGTATGTATTGGTAATAGAAAACTGTAACCATTAGGAACGAACAGAGGTCTTGGGGAAGAATAGAGATTTTGCCTTACAAGATTTCCTATTACAAAGCTCTCCCGCAAGTAAAATTACATTCCCTACAACTACAAAGTAGGGCATGCCTTTTCAGTATCTTTGAATTTGACCAATGGTGCTGTTGCAAAATACATTTTAATTGACAACAGTAGGGTTTTTGTACAACATAGTAATGATAGCCATGGAAGGTTATATTTTTGTGTCTAAGGACTAGCGTTTTAATGAAGATAAAATTGTCCCAGGATCCTTATTAAGAGAAAGCAAAGGGTATTTGAACTGATCCACCAGTGGAACTAGGTGGGAATATTTGGGTCTTTTGTTTCACCACCGCTTAGGTCCAAGTGAATTTGTGAACTCATGTGTTTGCGTCATCTGTTCTTAGAAGTTATTCTGCCCTGGCTCTGTGTCATCTCAGTCATTTGACTAAGGAAGTGCCCTTTGAAGGACCCTGTTCACTGCTGCACTTTTCAATGAATTAAAATTTATTTCTGTTCTAGTGGGAATGTGTCCTTTGTTTTAGTCCACAAGTAGTAATTTTAACAAAATCTTCTTTGCTGTATACTGTTTAATGTTTTAATCACTCACCTAGTACTGGAGATGGACTGTTCTGCATTGGGTACCATAGTCCCTACCTGGAAACCTCGTTCGTGTATATGTGTGGTCCCTGCTGCCCAGTATCCCTGAATGAGCACCATGTAGAAAATCCTTACTGATAAATCTTTATGCATTTATAGTTCAGAGAGGAAAAAAAACTTACCTTGACCAGCTTTAAATTAGATAAACGAAGCTCACCGTCAAAGGTGCCTTGCCTTGATGTTCAGTCATGTGATCCACTGCCCTAAATGAGAAGTAAGTCCCACTGGAGTTGACACACTTTTACTTAAAGGGATAGTTAATATTTTAGGTTTGCAGGCTATGTCTCTAGCACAGCTACTTAATTCTGCGTCAGTACAAAAGTAGCCATAGACAACACAAATGAATATGCATGGCTATGTTCCAACAAAACTTTACCAAAAAAAAAAAAAAAAAGCATAATTTGCCAACCCCAGACCTAGTAGGTTGCCTCTTATAAGTTCTGAAGACCAAGCAGAAAAACAAGATGTTAGAAGATACCCATACCATAAAGTTTCCAGACTACTATACTATCAGAAAAACAAGTAATTGAGTTTATCACAGTATCAAGCCACCAAGGAAGAGAACATTTATTTACTTAGACTCAAAGTGAGGGTAAGTACAGACTCTACTAAATCCATTTCTCTAATATGTAGCCCCCCCCACCATCTCCACTGAGACTGTACCCTGCCCTGCAGAACCAAACACTACAGATTGAGTATTTGTTTCACCTCCTTTCTCGGCCTGCCATGGGTTTAAAGGGCTAGTCATGTGTGTACCTTGAAGTCTAGTGGCAAGAGCAGAGAACCTAGGGGCCCCAAGCTGAACGCACTGTGCGGACACCTTTACTGATGGCCTAGGAATTACTATATAAGGCCCCAAGCTGAACGCACTGTGCAGACACCTTTACTGATGGCCTAGGAATTACTATATAAGATTTGCATGTGGGACATGGGAGCCGGCTTCAGGAGTACCAGAGTAGATGACAGTTCTAAATCTTAGTCTTTGAGAGGAAGCTTTCATTACCATCTTCTGCTGGTGACACCTGAGATCTTATATATCTTCACCACCTGCCCCTCAGACTGATGCTGATAAGTCCTCAAAGGGCGGAGAAATACATAGAATGGTTGTAATTAGTATTTATTGTGATAAAAATGGCTCTGCCAACAAGCTGCTTTCCTCAGCTTAGTTTATCCAAGCTCACAAAGCTCATTAGTAAAAGAGTCAAGGTTTCAAAGATGTGGCTTTGAAGACATCTATTAAACTCTGCTCTCTCTCTGATCTAAGAAGGATTTTACCCTCCCTCATATGTCGGAGTGACTGCCTACTCTGCCTGGACGTGGGCTGGGTTATGAAAGGAAATTACTCTCTTCCTGACCCCCAGGACATTATTGTGTAGATTGAAAACTCATCCCTGATATCTGTAGTTACAGGGAAAACACAGTTTCAGTTGACACTACCATTCAAGTGGCTTCTCAAAGTGAAAACAGCTCCTCTGACAAACCCTTAACTAGACTCACCAAGAATAAAAGGGGCTCAAGTAAAATCAGAAGTGAAAGGGGAGACATTACAACTGTACCACACATATACAAAGGATCATAAGAGTACTATGAACAACTAATTATATGCCAACAAATTGGATAACCCAGAAGAAATGGATAAATTCCTAGAAACACAGCCTTCTAGGATTGAATCATGGAGAAATAGAAAATGTGAATAGTCTGATCACTAGTAAGGAGATTGTGATCAACAAGCCTCCCAGGGCTTCCCTGGTGGCACAGTGGTTGAGAATCTGCCTGCCAATGCAGGGGACACGGGTTTGAGCCCTGGTCCGGGAAGGTCCCACATACCGCAGAGCAACTAGGCCCGTGTGCCACAACTACCGAGCCTGTGCGTCTGGAGCCTGTGCTCCGCAACAAGAGAGGCCGCGATAGTGAGAGGCCCGCACACCGCGATGAAGAGTGGCCCCCACTCGCCGCAACTAGAGAAAGCCCTCGCACAGAAAGACCCAACACAGCCATAAATAAATAAATAAATAAAATTTAAAGAAAAAAAAAAAGCCTCCCAATAAACAAAAGTCCAGGACCAGGTAGCTTCACTGGTGAATTCTACCAAGCATTCAAAGTGGAACTAATACCAATCCTTCTCAAACTCTTCCAAAAACAGGAGAGGAAGGAACACTTCCAAAATCATTTTATGAGGCCAGCATTACTCTCATACCAAAACCAGACAAGGACACCATAAGAAAAGAAAATTACAGGTCAATATCCCCAATAAACATAGAGGCAAAAATTCTCTAACAAGATATTAGCAAACTGAATTCAACAATACATTAAAAGGCTCATACACCATGATAAGTGGAATTAGTACAAGGACGCAAGAGTGGTTCAGCATCCACAAATCAATGTGCTATATACCACATTAACAAAATGAAGGATAAAACACATGATCATCTCAATAGATGCAGAAAAAGCATCTGACAAAACTCAACGTCCATGATAAAAACTCATACAGAGTAAACATACCTCAACATAAAAGTCATAGATGACAAGTCCACAGCCAACAATGAAAAGCTGAAAGCCTTTCCTCTAAGATGAGGAAAAAGACAAAGATGCCCACTGTCACTTTTATTCAACATAGTATGGGATAGCTGATTCACTTTGTTATAAAGCAGAAACTAACACACCATTGTAAAGCAATTATACCCCAATAAAGATGTTAAAAAAAAAAAAAAGACAAGGGGGAATTCACTGGAGATCCAGTGGTTAGGACTCGGCACTTTCACCAGCCATTGCCCGGGTTCAGTTCCTGGTTGGGGAACTAAGATATTACAAGCTGTGCAGCATGGCCAAATAAAAGAAAAATTTTTTAATTAAAATTTTTTTTAATTTTTAAATTAAAAACTTTTTAATTTTAAATTTTAATTTAAAAAATTTAATTTTTAATAAAATAATAAAAGACAAGGATGTGAAGAAAAGGGAACCCTTGTGCACTGTTGGTAGGAATGTATA